TTTTATATAAATGTATAAAAAATATGCATTCATCTCCCCTTGTATAGGAGCAGTTTCCTTCAGAGCTTGCAAAACGTTACCTAGAAACTCTTGGGCGGCCGATTCGTACAAATCAAAGGCAATCTGATAGGCCATTAAATTACTAGCATCTTGAGTTGATCTAGTAAGTTTGTCTAAAACTTCTGCTACTACCAAAGGATCTTCCAGGAAAATCAGACATTGGCACATATTTACATAATCTGGTACGCCCAAGGCACGATACCGGCCAACTAAGCAACGCAGAACTTCATTACGAAATCCTCGACTTTGAATTAAAGACATTGTCACGTTGTAAGCATATGCCAGCCCAGCAACGTCGTCTGATTTCATAATCGATTTTTCAAAAATATCCATGCGACGAGTCTCCAGGGCGATACCTAAAGCCTGACGATATTGGCCATCTTCTAAGCAACGCTGAATCATACGATTAACAATGCCTTCTAATCGAGAATCAACCGGTTTTGCATCCTTGGGATTTTCAATAGTAGCGATTTTTATACAGCTGGGCTATATAAAAATCGATGCATTTGACTATAATAGTCTCCGTATATTCATTACGAGCATTAACATCAAAGAGTTCTCCTGCACACAAAGCGTAAGTCAAGACGTCCTCAAACGAACCCAAATGGTAAAAAACTTTTGAAGCCACCATCCCAGCCAATTTATGGTGGTGGTAACAAGTACGAAACAAAAGACGAAGCTTGGCAAGTAATTGCCATGAAATTGCGTAGTGATGGTAAATATTAAAAAAAATTAATTATCTTATAATTAAATATATTTATACGTTTGTTACTTTTAGTGGAGACCTGTAAGAAGCGATGGAAGTATTTAAGGGAGCGATATGTGTCACAACGTAAGCAAGGCGATCCTCAGGTATATGAACATCTATCGCGACCGTATTTAGAAAAAAAGAAATTCCTAGATCAACACATACAGCCGCGTAAATCTTATCGTAATGTACCCAACTTTCTGACCTCTCCGCATTCAGCAAACAGTTCAAATTTTATTGACTACAATATGGATTCAAAATCGAACAGCTCGATGAAAAATTTAAACTATTTTGGCGGCCACAGTCACCATTATCATCAGCAATCAGATCAACAGCATGCCATGAATGCCTTGAGCTCTGCAGCAGTGGCGGCCTCGGCCTTGGAAAATGATAATCGTGTAAAAATAGAAGCTGATCAAGTGTTTCGAGATTTTGCCGCTGCTGTCGCGTCGCAATAATTACAACAAATCTCACAATCACAAATGCAACAACAAGCGGCTGCAGTGGCAGCAGCCATGGCTGACTCTTCACCAAATTATACGGAACATTTTAGAGACACAACAAATAACGCTTTGAGTGGGATTTCTAATCCGCAAACCAACTTAGTTGGAAACGGAGGACTGCCGTCCTCTTCGTCTTCTATTAAGTCACTCTTATCTTCTCCTATCCCAGATGGTAACCATAACGGCACAACTAATCCAGGTCATTCCAGTACACCTCAACAAACGGTCGCGCATTCTTTCAGTTCTGCACATTCTGCCAATGCAATAAATCAGCATGACGTCAGCAACCATAACTTTAGTGAATCACAAAATGAAGATTTAGATTCATCCACCAGTAGCAACTATCACAGGAAAAAACCTAGAGGTCAACTAAATAATAGTACGAATAGTATGAATGCTTCGTCCCAGCACAACAACAACAATAACACTAACGGACAGTTAAGTAATAGCCACAATAGTATGAGTGTCAGCTCACATTTTGTCGGTGACACTGACGATTCTGATGATAGTAGCGGTATGCTACAACCTCAGGCTGTGCTAAATGAAAGCGCAGAAAATCCTTTCAGTTCCATCAGTGCTTCAACGTCGACGGTAGCTTTGCAACAACGGCAAAACGACAATAGCAACAACGTCAACAGTCAACTCTCAAACCAAGCTTCTAATATGTTCCCTTCGAACGCCGATTTTCTTTTACACCTATACCAACAACTACCACAACAACAACAGCAACAGAATAATGTACAACAAAATCATCAGTTCGGTAAATTCCAAGTGCCACAAACTCCACCTCCACCTCAGCGTAGTTCTGAACATTTGCTGGGCGAATTAGTGACTACGGAGCTGTTAAAAATGTCCAAGGAGCGACGAAAAAATGTCCAAAAGCGCATATTGGAAATATTATTCTTTGACGACTAAGACGACGTTGGCACGTTATGAAAGTTGAAGAAGATTAAAATATCCCGCACACCGTACCATTGCATCTTCGAATAGTTTCTACAAAAACAGCAAGAGGAACTTTTTGTCGCATCTTTGTGTAAATCTTCAAAAGGTATTTTTTCTATTTAAAGAATTAAGAAGACTGAAGAATAATATAGAAATAACACTCGTGAGCGGGAATTCGAAATCTGCAACATTACGGGTAAATCGCTTTTACTTTCATCCTACGGCATACACAGAGAGTAACATAGATTAAAGTTTGTATTTTTTCAGAAAATCAGTAATGACAGAAAAATATATCCTTTTCGAAATATGTTTTCCAGAAGAGTTTGCATCGGTGCAAATATGAAGAGAACAAACTTTCTGCTAAAACGATTAGTCATGAAGAAACTTTTCAAGACAAATTTCAGTTTTGTACGGGCAATGAGCAAGAGATTATTGATGGATAATAGATTTATTCTTTGAAAGTACTTTAGCCGTATCCAACGAGCCGAAATCTACTCTGCACATGACCTTAACCGATTTCAAATCTTTAAGCCGCTAGTAAATAAAAGTTATCTCTGAGGGTTATGCGTATATGTAACAAAAGCACAAAATTAGTATAAATCCAAAGTTGTTTCAGCTGTATTCTTAGGCCTTTAAAATTTAAAGCTCGAGTGAATCATAGGAAGAAAATCAACGAAGTTCGAAGCAATAGAGCAAGATAAAGTGAGCAACACTTTAGTTGTTGAAATTTGTCATTTGACAAGAATCTAACTCTAATGTATTTAAAGTAATAAATTATTGTAATATAAAGGTAAAAATGCAAAAGCCGATTAAGTGGAAATAAAATTATTTATTCGATTAATTTAAAAATGAATTTTATTCTTATTTGTTTTTAAATCATATGGTAATGTGGAAGGCCTAGCAATCGCTAAAAAAAATAACACAGCTTTATTCCTGCAGGACCTATGCTGCGTAGATTGATTATAAAAGTTACGAATTAACATCTCCTACAAATCAAAAACATTCTCAATCGAATTAAAGAAAAGCTTAATTTTTGCGACTAAGAGAATGCTTACAGCACACATTACTTTCTTTCATTAATGGGTCTAAAAAATTTAAAGATATATCACTTTCACTAATACAATTCTTCATTTTTTTTTTTTTTTTGTCATATAATAACAAAAATCATATGTTTTTGTGTGTAGATAAATGAAGGCTGGATGCTTTGATAAGAGCGGGTCTCTTGACCTCTGTTAGGAATACAGACTAACATTGTCCGCATTTCGCACGGTAAATTTGTCTCTGAAACCATTATTGTCGACAAATATTGGTCATATAATATTACATCGTACATCATTCTGCCATATAAAAATTTGATACTTGGTAAAAAAGTTATATTGGAATGTGTTCTAAAAATGATTTCACCACATTCTAGTTTTCCCCACGCATTAAATATGCTGAAATACTATATATCACCAATTTTTGTCAAGAAATATTAAGTATAGAAGACTTTTCCTTCTTTCGCATAACAACTTTCTCAGAAGAGGATGTTGCAGAGAACCTATTCATAAAATTGGCCTCATTTTAACCATTTTCAATATTGCTCGCCCTTGTAATCAAAATATCTCGAAAATTGTGAAAAATAGGTTGAACACTAAAAACCAAGAGAAGATAACAAACAGATGGAGGGGCAGACGAACAAAATTTAAATTGAAATCAAAAAATTATTCTGTGTGGATAACTCTAATAAAAAGTAGACGTATTTTCAATTAAACATGATGCTATATACACTTTCACCCTGTATAGGGTATAATCAACATACTTTCTTTACAACATGGGTAAACACTAAACTAAAATACTTTGAATTATTTATATTAATATATATCTAAAGAACGAGCATTCGCACTTGATCTCTACAGCGATGGTCCCTTATCTATCTCTTTGCTGAAATGAAGAAACCGTCTACTAATGCTTGGGGGCAAATTTTTTTCAAAGATACTTACAACTCCAAAAAATAGAAAATTTCAATTGCGCTTACGCGTTCATAACGTCTCGGGCAATAGCATAGATAGAAATAATAAGCAAGTGTAACTTGTGCATAATAAAAAAGTTCCTTCAAAATTCATTGGTAAAGTTTTCCCGAAAGGAGATTTCGAAGGTAAATTGACGTTTTTTCAATGAAGGCAAACCTAAACACAATAATTTGCTACCATAAGATGGCGTTGTTACTTATGAATCGTAGCTCGAATTCCTTGAGACAAAGGACAAAAATTGCTTCTAAACAGACTCGATAGCAACATAGCAGCGGTAGAATGGAGACCACACAACGGGAACATATTCCATTGGTTTTATTAAAGCCGTGTAGAATCTTTTTGTAATGTATGAATCATCGAATTAAATTTACCAGCTTTTAATAAAGTGTAGTGCTTATAAATATGCCGACCTTATATTACATTCAGTGTGGAAGCATGGCGTATCATAGTGTGATAGCGTAAAACCACGTCATTTCTTAGTCAGCTTCTCTTCTTCACGCTTTTTTTTGGCTCTAGCTGGTAAGGACGTAAAAATGAAGTAAAAACTTGGAAAGTGACACATGTGTTCTGAGTAGACATCGCTGACGATAAATTGGAAAACTGACCAGAGCTGACCACATTAAAAAAAAAAAATGTAAAAACAGTATTTTCATGTTTTTCTCCTGCAAGTTGACAAATCAATGGCAGATTATTCACTGCGGTGAGAAAAAAATTAAAACCCTCAGCTGATATCGATTTAAAATTTGAAAAAGTATCAGGTCTACAAATAAATTATCAACCTTCCAACTTGCCATTACATAAAATTCACAAGTTGCATTCAACTCTCCCATGATTTTGAGTGTATATAGTTTTGAGTTTTGTGCTAATGCGGTATAGGTTTCAATTGTTACCAGCTGTCGTTCAGTGTATATCAAAGCGTAGAGATGGATGCCATTTAAGCCATTTGCAAACGATTGAGACAGTAAAATTTATCTCACCAAGTAATGTGGGCGAATCGACATTTATTTATTAACTTGGTTAAAAAGCAAACATCAAGAATAAGTCTTCGTTTCTTAAGTAACTGTAAGGCTAACCGAGGTAGTCTGGTTTTATAAGCAGACAAAGAGGCAAATTCTTAGGGGCAAACAGCATAATTGCTTTTGAACGAATTCATAATAACAGCTTTAGAAGTACACCACATGACAGACGTATACCTAGGTATTGGTCTAACGAAGAACATATATAGTTTGTATACCCATTAATAAGGAAGATAATAAAAGAAAAGTCAGGATTTTAAAGATTGATTAAAAATCTTTGAAATAACAACACATAGCTTATCAGAGAATGGTTTCAGAATGCATGATGAAATGCCATCAGGGCCAGGCGCACCAACTATATCATATTTTATTTCAAGATTGAATTTATGATCTGATGTGGATACTTAAGGGTAAAAGGGAATCACCAGTTGAAAAATTTCGTCGGAAGTATTCAGCGAAGGGATTTGAGGTTTCAATATCACCAGAGGACTCGGTGCCAATGAAAGAAACCTGCGATGGATATATGAAGATTTTTCTTTTGGAGTTGGCGAACTTATAAAAATATTTACGGTTAACAAGCAATGAGAATTTTATCAACTGAAGGTAATTGAGTGCAACAGGTAGGCGAAATACTCGCAAGCGCAAGCGGACACTTTACATAAATTTTTTGAAAGGTTTGCGTTTCTTATTTTCGGAGTATTTAATTCCTTTGTTAAACAATGGCAAGCGACTGCTTTGTTTGTCTGATCGGAACGGATGCAAAAATACATTATAAAACGATACCAATAGGTTTTCAATATTCTGAGCACGAAAAGCGAGGATAATGTGTGAAAGATAAGATTTAAGCAGTAAAATATTGGTTTTATTAACGTTATATTTTTACCATCGTGAATGTAATGAAATGCGATTTTCACCCGAATGATAATAAATTCAACATCGGCGGGATAGGAAATGCAAATGAATAGGACGAGACAGCAATAGATATTGCGATTAAGAAACCACCTCTAGTGCGATCGAATCGATCCTTTCTGAAAACCTGGAAAGAGTTGTGAAAAAGTTCCGACGAATATAAATCAAGAAAACTCCATGGTCACTTAATTTAGGTAGGTAGAAACAATGTTTGAGTTCAAGCGCCTGACATTGTGGTAAATGATAGTTACTGGGCCTGAATAAACAGTTAGTTTTTTGAAGGTGGAAGAATTAGTATTACGGGATCGATCGCGAGAAATTAATTCCGTTATTAAGCGTCCAACTGGCCACAATGGCGTATTTAACAAAATTTTCACCTATCTTCCAGTAACGCCTTAAAGGAAGAGACAGTTCTGTGTTGAAATTTGAAAATGCTAACACGCTTCAAATTGACGCATGGGAACTTTGCGGCAAGATAATCTCTCATGTTAGTCCCCTTCGAGGAAATACTGGAATATGAGGGATCACGGGTGCAGAACTTCGAGTTGGGAAGAAAATAGAGAAAATGACTATACTTGTTTAGGCAAGTTGTGCAACTTGCCTAACATGGTCCCCAGTAGATATAAACGAACAGCGGGGGGGGCAGGAAGATTTATTATTTTCACTTCCGAACATAAAAGTGAAGTAGTTCTTTACTTACTCCTAATATGTTTATCTTTACGCAATGACAGATGCACGACAAAAACCGATAATTCATCTGTTGCAGTTTTATTTTTAACTAAATTTTATTCTACTTGTAAACACTTTGAAAAAATAGCGAAATTCCGGATCGAAAGTATATAAAATGTCATTAAACAGTCTTAAACCATTGCATTTTTGCTCGTTTTTAACTGAACTAAACTGGAAAAAATTCAGTTAAAGCCACAGAAGTGATTAAGTTGGCTTGGAATGAATATGTAGTAAACTATAAAACAATTAAAAGTCGGTTCGCGAGATTTCGTTCAAAACATTTTTATGTCGAAAATAAAATAAAATT